GCTAATGTACATAAATCTTCTATTTGTGCTAGACATGGACTGATTCAGTGAAATTGGTGCATCGTACACACTTTACTAAGCTCAGGCTCTCTAAAATAATATAAGGAGGTGGACCCAACTTGTGACAGATGTAGCCAAGCACCGGCGAGTCATGCACACATGTTCTGTTTTTGTCCGGTCTTACACTCTTATTGGACTCTTTAGATCACTGTCAGAAATCACTGGAAAACCGATCGCTCCTAATGCCATGACCGCACTGTTTGGTATAACCCCACCCACATGGTCACTCTCTTCTCTGAAGACAGCCTTCATAGCCTTTGTTACCTTACTAGCCAGACGCCTGATATTGCTCATGTGGAAGTCTCCAACATCCCCTTCACACACCTTGTGGTTAAAAGAAGTCCTAAACTCAGCCAAACTCGAGAAAATAAGGTGCATACTGAGGGGCTCCCTGGGGAAATTCACAAGATGTGGAACCCCTTCTACAAGTATATACGGGAGCTGGACATGCCGGATGTCTTTGTACAACAGGGTGGTGGACCTGTGGTGTTAAACTGTAATTAGTGGGCAGCTGACTGACCAACAAGTGCTATGTTTTTTTTTTTTTTTTTTTTATATATTTGGTCTTTTTGTTCCATTTATGCACATTCTTTGATCTCTACTCTTGCATTAAGTTATTAATAATGGACTTGGACTCAAAGCCTTTAGATTTGAATTTTTGTTGTTGATTTTTGTCCTGTCAAAGTCCATTTTTTTGTCGTTTTTAAAAAAAAGCTCAGGCTTGACAATCACAGCAAAGAGAAGAAAGGGCATTATTGATAGGTTTTTGCAGAGTGATGAACTCAAAAATCCAAACTACTCTTTGGGAACCTGCATGATTCACTCATGACCCATTGATTATATTTTGTGAGATGCTGTGAGCCTGCTGAGTCCGTTCTCTTTCATTCGTTTTTAGCAGTATTGTTTCAGCATGAGGTTTTTCCTTTTATCTTTTTTTATAAAATGAGTGTCGATGATACAAAAAAAAAAAAAAAAATAAAAATAACTGGGATGATTATTTAGAACCATGAAACATCCACTAAAAGAATGGAAACCTTTGTATAAAATTAACGTATGTCCCTTGTAGAATAAAATGTATACAATATGCATATTCAGCTTTTAACACCAGCAGTGATGCATCTTTAATTCTTTATTTTGCTGTGTCCCATTTACAGAAAATACGATGCCTTTTTGAGACAGTGACAAGATATGAAAAACGGGTCATTTTGAACTGAGTTGGTAACTTAAAAAAAAAAAACACACCTGCACGGTAGGAAACAAAAACTGCAAATATTGTTCCCTTCATTAAAGCCGTGTAACCAAACATGAAGCTAATGCATGATTCAACAATTGATCTACTGACATCCACATGCATGACACTCCAAAGAGTCATGGTGGACCGCTTAATTTTTTTAACCTCCATCAAGTGTTTTATTCCAGAAATCTCCGTGATAGCAAAGCGACACAAGGAGAGCACTTTACTCAGGCGAATAAAACACGCCACTATACACCACACAACGTTTTAAAGAGTTACTTTCCTTAATATTGAAAACAAACCAACAACATAAAAAGATGACCATTGATACACAAATAATGCATTACATTAAGGCACCTGAAACAAAAGGGTTTGTGACGGGTTTAGAAACAGTTTGAGGACTTTTTAAGGCTATAAATATTGGCAGTTTTGCAACACTGCCTGCCTAAAACTCTCTGAATTTTCGATGTATCTTTTTGATACATTTTTGACTACCAGTTCAAATATGACAGGGTTCAAATTCTATTTTGCAATGCAATTATGAAATATTAGGAACCGGAACAATCATTCATACATCTTCCTGTTCCTAATAAAGGTTTCCTTCAATAGAGAAAGTTAAGTGCAAAACAATTACAAAGACCGTGATTTCTTCTGTCCAACTGTCGACTAAGGTCAATCAAAAAAACGTAAGTTTAAGATTACGACCAAATCTAGTAATGATTACCAAATACATCCATGAAAAATCCGGTTTTATTATCAAACATGAAATGGAAGTAGTAATCTTTTGGTCATTTATTGTTATGGGAAGTGTCTGATGTTGACAAGCCTCACTGATTTGCTGTAACTTAAAAGCGCTAAAGACGTAGCAACAACTGTTGATGTGACAATCAAAAAAAAAAAAGGGTCCTCATTGCTTACCATTTCTAAACCCTTCAGAAAGTCCTTCATAGGTGGTACCTCACTGTAAAGGTTCTTAACTGTGGGACTCTGGATATGAAGTGTTATAAAACGTGCCTATTTCGACTGGCATAAATAAAAGGAATGACGTTGTAAAAAAAATAAAAATAATATTAATCGTAATAATTATAACAATAATAATAATAAAAATGTGTGACTTGTCTTTAAGTTACTTATTTCAAATATACACAGCGACTCCTTTAGTATTTACACATATATACAGAGTATTCATTTCTGTTTTGATCAAATACCTCGAATGGCGTTGCTGTGAAATTGAACTCTCTAGATGTACACTTCTATCCCTTTGAGATTTGAGAACATGGAGGTCAAACTGGGCAGCGCGACTCGGAGCCTCAACACGGCGGCTCTTGGAAAGGCACTTGCTACCAACTCAAATACTGCAAAAAATCCTCAAACAGAGCTTTCAGCCAAGACAACTGAGAGACAGAACAAAAAAGGAAGGCCACATAGTAGGCACTGGGGTTTCTGTCCCCTCTCCCCTCCAGGCCAAGTGTTTTGGTAAGGCTGGCGCATGACGGCCACAGGTGGATCGGCGGGCAAAGCCGGGAAGAGACAGAGCAAAGGAGGGTTTCTCTGTTACTGTGGCTGCAACAGTCCGTTTCCCTCAAAAACTTTGCTTTACTGTCCCTTTAAAGTGTATCTGCCCCACCACAGACACTGAACAGGAGCCCGCTGACAATTAAACAAAAACATAATCTGTAAACAAAAAAAAGTCTTTATACAGGTTTCTTTTTTTCTCCTTTCCGATGATTCATCGTTTCATAAATGGTATAACTCCATAAACAAAAAATGCAGGAAGCTTCTTTTGCCTCCTGAAAAAGTGTTACATTTCAGCTCCTTCTGTACATAATCAGAGACAAATAAATGAACAGAAGCAAATTAGGATGTTCACTGTGCTCTAGACTCCTGAAGAAAAACTAATTTCAGGTGACAGTGAAAAAAACATGAAAACAAATCAAAGAAAGACTTATAAAACACAAAGCCTTTTTTCTTTCAAAAAGAAGTCCAAAAATAAGAATAGCCGCTGCCTTGCTGCTTCTCTCGCTTCCACATCACGAGTCCTTTGTTTAAATGTCTAATACACAATGGTCTTTGAGGTCTTTTTGACCAGTCAAGACGGCACTGACATTTTTCCAGCGGTTGTCTTTGGGGCTGTAGCCTGGGGTCCGGTGGGGCGCTTTGAGGGATGAGCTGGAGCTGTGCATGGTACAGATCACTTCCCCACTGGACTGCGATGCAGTCTTAGAGTACTTATAAACTGGCTGCTTCCCCGCCTCTGCTCCACCACACTCCTCTTCGAGTTCAAGCTCGCCTTCCGTCTCTTCCTCCTCCTCCTCCTCCTCCTCGTCACATGTCCGATAGGAGGGGCCCATGAGCTTTTTGCGCTCCTGCTCGGCGTCCCTGTTGTTTTCCTTCAGCGCCTGCTGCTGCTGCTGACGTCCAACAACGAGCCGGAGCGGCTGCCATTGGTTGTTCACGTTATCATCGGAGGATGTGTTCCTCTCACGCTCTTTTCTCCGTTTGCGCGTCCACCAAACAGATACGATGATGCAGAAGAGGCAGAGCAAGCAGAAGATCCCACATAGAATAGGCACCAGGTAATCTGTTGACATGAGGATGTACAAGGGATGAGTACATAGAATAGAAATCAGTAGAAAGTAGTGATAAGACATTGTTGAGAAACTGATGGGACCCACAACAAACCCCTGTGGGACACCTTTGTTAATTATTACTCACCCACTGAGGGGGGCATGACTGGTGTTTCCACTTTGACCTCAATGACAGCCAACATTACGGTGCTGTTGTGCCGCTTGGACAACGTGCCCACTATAGCGCTGGCTGCCTCCCGGATAAGACTGTGGTCTGGAAGATCCTCTGGATGGAAAGACTGAAAAACCAAACCAGAGAACATTTAAGAACTGAGGACCTCAAACACTCAATCAAAATTGGGTTGTTTTGATATAATTGTACAAAGTAAAGAGTATAGTGGACAGTGGGTCATGCCAAGAAAGGCATAACATAACATTTACTTACTATAGCCACCTCTACAGCATCCTGATTCGACTGAGAGAGGTCACACAGCAGGAGAAGGAAGTGGTCCTTTGCCAAACCTCGGGTGTCAGGAAGATACCTTAGCTCATGGCATATGTTCTCCACTGTTGTTCCCTGCAAGTTCACATACATACTTTTAAGGAACAATACAAAAGACACTGCTCCTTTAAAATGTAGCTTCAACAAGAAAATATTTTACATGAAGACATGACTCACTGTTGGTACTTTGTCTTTGTTGAAAATGAGTGTTATGCGGCCACAGCTGTTATCCAAATGCCCGGTGTTTGGCTGGCACTTGGTGGTTGCTTTTGGAGGTGAGGCTTCTGCCATGGAGCAAACCCCCCACTGATGGCAAGGGGGGGAGAAGCAGGTGAGGTAGCTGTGCTCCAGACACTGGCGTCCAGCCGGGCAGGACTGATGTCTCTGGTCTGAGTCTGAAGTCTGGAGCCGGCAGGGACGACGACCACACAGCACCTGGTGTCACACGCAATACATCTTCACATACATGTAACCACAACACTTATAATGGTTTTCTGCATGTTGAGTTTTAATGACAGCCAACAAATGTTCGGCATGATCTAATTTAAAGATATTACACTGTGGACTGTGTTATTGTTGAAGCCATTTTCTCTTTTTCTTTGAATCTTTCAGAAAATAGTGGAAAAAAAGTCCATCGCAATTAACAAGTTGTCAGAACAAAATACGTTTACTATAATTTAAGGCAAAGAATATCAGCAAAACCATTCAATATTTGTTATTTTGACTTAAACAAATTATGTATTGTGAGTTGAATTTTAAACTAATTGAGTCATTGTTTCGCCTTTAAACTCTTTTTTTCTCCGAGCATGATTGCTTGCTGTTGTTTGTGTTTGTAATTGAGATGTAGCAGATATTTGCTGGCGCTGTATTTTAGCAGGGATGTTATTTAAGTAGGGCTGGTTACCTTTGTACATTCCACTTTGCCATTGATGCAATGGCAGCTGTTGCAGTCCTCCTCCCAGTGACTGCCATGTGGAAACTGCAGCCCAACATAGCGGCAAGTCTTCCCAATACCTATAACTACAGACAGACAGGGACAGAAAGGGACAGACAGGGACATCAAATTAGGTACAATGGGTACAAATGTTGACTCTATAAATCATTTGATGGAGTAAATTATAACAGTAGATTCAAGTTATACGCTTACACTCTTGGCATCGGGCTCCTGTTCTACCGAGTGGACAGATGCAGCGGAAACCGTTGATCTCGTCCACACAGGAGGCACCGTAGGCACAGGGCGAAGACTGGCACTCGTTTATGTCTGTGAAGGTAAGAGGAGCATTACATTTAAGTTGGACACAAGGTACTGGATTCTAACATTTTAACTTATTTTAAAGACAAGTAAACGCCCGGTCAAACCAGAAAGAGGAATGGCTCAATTTGCCTTATGTCTATGAACTTGGCAAAGTAGGCATTTTCTTATAGGGCTTGTAAATTATCTGCTGTAGCTAACTAGAAAACCGCTAACATGCTAGCATTAGTAATTTATGGGGCCTCTTTCTATATTACTGAGTCATACAAAATTGTCAAGTTACAGTTAGCTCGTTAGCTAAAGGGATTATAGGTTGACAAAATGTATGCAAACATATTTAAGCCACGACATCAACCACATTGACATTGTTTTCTGACGGAAGAGGTTAAAAATTGATGTTTCTCCATTTTTGATTTTGCCACTCGCTTTAAAAAGGTCAAAATTAACTTGCTAATAGTGAACTTGGCAAATTGATGTGCCAGCAAATCCACAATATACTTTTTTTAAAGGAAATGTACTGATTTTGTTGCATAACTTTGCATTTTAATCAAATAAACTACAATTCTGCATGCATGTTTAAGCCTCTTTCTAGCAATTATGTGAATCATCTCATGAACACTCATAACAGGTCAAGACCATGAAGTTTCAGTTTGTGCAAATTAAATCACAAAGCCAAATATTTAGAACATACAGTGGTTTGTCTGAGACCGACAACATAAATGAGTAAATTGTGTATGTTGGACTATGAACACATCTGCTATATAAGAAGCTCTTTGAACGACACATATCAATTGTCCCTTCCCATAGAAATCACTGGGAACCGCTGCCATTGTCACCCAGATTCCACATGAACACGGTCGGGATGAGGATTCTCAAATTCAAGCCTGACAGAAAAGGTGAACGCTATCCGGCCGAAACAAAGGAGCAGAGAAGAAGAATTTCAGGGTCACTGGGTAATTTGTCTTCCGTGTGTGTTTGTGTGACTGTGAGTATGGAGGAGGGACGGCCTCTGACCCCTGAGGCGTTAAAGGACCGAGAAAAAGGGAGAGGGCGGCGTCCTGGTCTTGCATTTAGGTATCAATATGTCCATCTCCTGCTGGTCCCCCCTTTTCCTTTCCTCTCTCCACCTATCCACCCTCCTAATCATACTATGGCTGCTAGGGTCTTGTGCACTATACTTCTGCTGTTTGCCCGTTGCAGTACAAATAAAGGAATTCTGATTCTGATTCAAACAGCATGTGAAGTGTTGGGAAAATACTGATTGTTCTCTTCCAATATCAGAGTAGCACATGATAACACAGGCCCTACGTAGCTGTGTACGTAACAGGATGTCTGATTACCTAGAAGAGCAT